AATGAACCATCGTTTGGCCAGCAGGCCAAGACCTGTATTAAACAGAGATTATCTAAGACTGTTCTTGGGCCTGAGTGACATTAACTCACCTACATATCGGTCTGTTCTATTTCTTACCCCTTTTGCATAAGTTCTTATGGAACTGAGGGATAGTCCCTGCTCCCAAGGAGATCGCAATTTAATGGGGGAGACAACAAGAAAACACCTAGATAGACAAGATAAGTTGGAGATCATCAACTCTCAGAAGGAAGGGAATGGACTAAGGGAGACTTTGAAAGGCTTCCTGCATATCATGAGATTTTAGCTGAGACTTGAAGGAAACCAGGAGACTGACCTAGGGAAGAAGAGAATTGTAGGTATGAGGGACAACCGGTAAAAATGCCCAGTCAGGAGATAGAGTATCTTGTATAAGACATGGCAAGGAGGACAGTGTCCCTTGGTCACGGAGTACACGGGCAGAAAGGCAACAGAAGATTCTGAACGCCAAAGAGAGGATTTTATGGTCAAGGTTGGAGGTGATATGAAGCCAGTGGGTTTATGGAGTATGGATAGACTTGAGGCAGGCAGAACCACCAGCAGGCTATTGTAATAGTCCAAAAGTGAGATGATGAGGGCTTGTACCAGGCTGGTAGCAGTGTCAGAGGACATAAGGAGGAGTGTACAAGAGATGTAGGAAAGTAAAATCGGTATGTCTTGACCACGTTGCACCTCATTAGGTAACCTGGAGGAAGGGTCAACCATATTAATGCCAGACATAATGCCACCCAACTGGCATATCCTCAGAACTCCTGAGCTCAAGAGATCCACCAGCTTTACGCTCTCTCATAGAGATATTTATAGGCATGAATCACCACACTTAATCTAAAAATACTTTTATAAAATTATCTGATGTTACGAATTATTCAGCTAGGTGGTACAGTGGATAAAGCACTAAGCCTTAAGTTTGGGAAGACCTGAGTCCAAATGCAGCCTCAAACACTTATTAGCTATGTGACCCTGGGCAAGTTTGGAGTTTTAACCCTGTTTGCTTCAGTTTCCTTATATGTAAAATTAGCTGGAGAAAGAAATGGCAAACCACTTCAGTATCTCAAAATAACCCAATAAAGACAATAAAAGCATTATTGTTCCCACTTTATAGATGAAGAAAATAAGGTCTGGGGCAGATATGGGATTGGCCCAAGATCAAACAGCAGGCAAATAGAATAACTCATCCTTAAAACCAGGATTACTGACACCAAGTTCCTTACACTTTATCACAGCTGCCTTCTTTGTCTAACTCACAACAGAGCATTTAATCCATTTTAAGTGAATGTATATGATTTTAATGGGGGAGGAGAGAGAATAAGGAAATTTAATTTCAGAAGAAATTGTGAATGCTGTTTTTATTTTTAATCTACTTATATTTTATATTGAAATGACATAATATTAAGTCTTCTGGTAACCAGTGAGACTTAAGGCCTTGAATTGCTTTCCTTTGATGTCCATTTTTCTCATCTTAAAAAAAAGAAGGTCCCGTTTCTGATACTATTTTATTTTCACATTACCATTTGAAAAAGAAAATCTGAATATTTATGTTTTAAGATTATGTTTAGCAGTGAAAATTAATTTCTTCATCTTTCAAAAACCAATCATTTTAGACTGTGAAGATTGCCATCTTTTTAAATGGTGTGTTTGCTGCGTGTAATACATGCTCTTCAATTTTAGCAAAGTGCTTCCAAAACTGGTTATTTGCAAAATGGAAATTTTCCTCAGGATAGTAACCATATATATACAGTTTATCCATGGACATGTCACAGGCCCTCACAGAAATGTGTAAAAAAAATTTTTTTTGGAAGAGCAAATTATATACTTCTGAAATCCTTGGCTTTGACAAAGTCTAATTTACTTTTGTTAAATTGATTTAGAGTTTGTAAAATGTTAGCTATCAGGTCTGAGAGTAAAATTAATATCAGACTGTGGTAGTAATAGACAGTATTTATATATTAGCCTTGCTTCTTCTTCACTAAATATAATAAATGGCCTTCTGAGAAATGGAAAAACACCTCCTTTCCACAGAGTTTGAGGTACAGTTATACTAGCCTATTCAGGGGTAAGCCTCTCTAAGGAGAATGTTAAGGGAAAAAAAAAACCAACCTATAAAAATGGCAGGTAGAGTTACCAAAAGAACTGGCAAGAATTAAATTATTTCAAATTGAGAATCAAATCATGAATTAGCTTTAGTTGAAATCCATCCATCAAAGGCAATGTTTCCTCAGTTTCATCATTCCCCTAGTACTCCTCTGTCAGGAACAGAATTGAAGGCACTTATCTCCTCCAAATACGGGCAGAATTTTCTTTGCTTTTGTAAATGCAACATATTCATTTGCATTTTTATTCTGATAAGATCTACTTGATGTCTTTAATCAATCAACAAACTTTTATTAAGTACTATTTATAGCCCTATTACAGACTGTAAATACTTAAAATACTTTAGTAATTTTAAGTAGCCTGCCTTTTCATAAAGAATGTAGATTTTTAAGCTATCATGAAAGGCAAGTGAATTAAAGAAAAAATGTTTTTAAAAAGTGACTAGATTAAAAGGAAAAAGACAAAATGAAATGACAGGTGTCTTAAATAACACATACATAGTACTTCTCTTTGACATAGCATTATATCACCTCATCACCTAGATACTGAGGTCTTCTAAATAAAATTGCATTGCATTCTCAACCCCTCAGAGAGTCAGTTTAGTTAACAGCCTACCTGTGCTTCAGAGTTGACCACACATCTTACATGTCAAACTCATTTTAAAGTGCCAATCATGTCCCTTCCAATCTAATTAGTTTGGGAAGTAATGTCACTGACCTAGAACTATGCAGACAGCTTATTATCATATCATTTGATCAACCTAACACTTTAACTCAATTGAATTTAGAACACCGGTAAGCAAAGTGTAATATAGTTTCTTCCAATTCATTACTGGTAATTCTCAACACAATTTCCTATTGGTGAGTAAAACCCATCTTGATAAATGAAGAGTGCTCAGCTTTATATAGGCATCACATAGGAAGTAATTATTTAGGTTTTAATAGAAGTTGAAAAAGAAAGTTAGAGGAAATGAGGAGATAGCCAACGTAATTTGATATAGACACTAAACTAAAAAGTGCCAAGCACTACAGGAAGAGGAAGGCCTAGAAGACAAAGGTATACCAGAGAGGGATACATATGAGCAAAAATCCATATGGGTCCCCAGTCTGAAAAAAAAAAAGCTACTTTTGTAGGTAAAACAACAACTATTTCAAAAGTAGTTATACTATTAAAAGGGAATAAGTTGTTACCTAATATTATTTATGATTCATCAAGGATTTTTAAATTAAGTCCTAGTGTTAAATCTAAAGAATCTCAGAGATGGAAGGGATGTGAGAAGTCATCTAGTACAACTCGTACCTGTACAGGACATTATCCAATTTACACCATTTCCAACAAATAATTAAACAACATACACTTCAAGATCTCTAGTGATGAGGAATCTTTTGTGGCAGCCCCTAATTCTGGACAACTCCAACTGTTATAAAAAATTTCCCTTAAAATCCATCCTGCCCTACAGGAAAATTGAAGGGGAAGGGGATAAGAGAAGGGGGGGGAGAAATAGAAGGGAAGGCAGACTAGGGGAAGGGGTATTCAGAATGCATGCCATCTTGGGGTGGGGGGAGGGGCAAGATGGGGTGAAAATTTGGAACTCAAAATCTTGTGGAAGTAAATGTTGAAAACAAAAAAATAAATAAATAAAAATTACCAAAAATTAAAAAAAAAATTTCCCTTATAGTCAACCTAAATCTGCCTCTCTGCCAACATGCCCTCATTTTTTGGATTTCTGCTCTCTGAGGCCAAGCAAAGACAGCCTAATTTCCTTCCACATAACACTTTTTGAAATACTTGAAGACAGCTATCATGTCCCCAGGTCTTCTCCAGCTAACTATCCCAAGTACCCTCACCTAGGAACTTTGGGTCTGCTATGAGATTGGGGCAAGTATAGCTACAATGGGAAGGCAGTCAGCAGAGATGAACAGGAATTAGGATTAGCTGAACTCAACAGGTGATAATTAAGTCCACTGGCCATGGCAGTAGAAATGAAAGATTAGGGGAATATTTGGTAACTCTAAAGCATCTGAGTGGGAATACCCAGAGGTATTCTAGTAAATAACATACAATTAGTGAGATTTAGAGTTGATTACAAAGTGGGTACATAGATGAAGTTTGGTGTAGTTAACAGAGAACCAGCTTCAAAGTCAAGATCAGGATTCAAAGCCTGTCTCTGACACATATTGGCTATAAACCCTGGGAAATCACTTAACCTTCCAGTTTTCTAGCTAATTGTCCAAGACTCTAAGTTGCAGAGTAGATATTGACCTGCTTTAGTAATGGGACGTGATCCCTTCTTGTACCAATAAAATCACAGGTCTAGTTCCTGTGTCTATTCTATATATATATGTTATTTAAAAAATATGTATGGTTGCATATTAATAACAGTGATAGTAAGAGTAATAGGAATCATATATATAGGATGTACTAAAAGTCTTAGTGTAGTTTTAAGCTTTAATAGCCTAAAACTACACTAATATTTTAAGTTTTAGGCTATTAAAAGTTTTAGACTATGGAGTTACTCTTCACTTTGAGCAGTAAGAAGTCAATTGTCACTTTGTTAAAATATTTAATGATTTCCTATGGGGAAGATACTTTGTGTTTTGTCCTAATTTCTATTTTTCTCTGAAAAACAAATAAAATTAGAAGAGCATGGGCAGAGGAATCAGAACAGTTGGGTTCTGGTCCTGGCTTTGACATCGATTTCTGTACTTCATTTTAGGTGGAAAATGAATAACTAGACCAGATCATCTTTAAGTTTCTTTCCTGCTAGAATTCTATGATGACTTTAGTTATGTTTAATTGATCCTACTGCTATCAACACAAATGAATTGGAATTAGTATCAAAAATTAAAAAATCCATACAGGACTTCGCTTACCTTCAGGTGATGAGCCTGGTTTTTGAGAAAAGACAGCGCTTACTTTACTCTTCTTGCTCATGTCACTGTTTACAGACAAGCTGGACTGAATTTTTTTATGCATTTTTTGTGAAACAGGCGCAGAAAGTTTTCGGTTATCTATAGATACATGTCTAACCCCATTGTGGATTCCATTCCCATTTCTCAGATTTGTATGACCATTCTTTATCTTGCCCATTTCTTCTTCACTTTGTTCCTGTGCTGAAGTCTGGGGCTCAGGCAAGCGTTGAGGTTGTGCTAAAATGAAAAAAAGAAAAAATTTTAATGTGGCAGAAATCTAACGTTAGGAAACAAAGTTTTCTAACATATATTTCAAATGGCAGTGGTATAAATATTCTCACCACCAATGTAGACTATAGTCCTTAGGTGACTCAATGGATAGACAGTCTTTAAAAGTTTGTTGCTATTTAGTAATTTTTCAGTCGTATCTAACTCTTCATGACCTCATTTGAGGTTTTCTTGGCAAAGATACTGGAGTGGTTTCCATTTTCTTCTCCAGTTCATTTTACAGATGAAGAACTGAGGCAAAGAAGGTTAAATGACTTGCCTAGGGTCAAACAATAAGTGTCTGAAGCCAGATTTGAACTTAGGAAGACTCAATGCCAGGCTTGGCACCCTATCCACTGTGCCACCTACCCACTGCTATAGCCAAAAAATCATCTTTCAGCCAACCTGGCAATGAGTTTTGCTGAACTTAGCAAGGCTGAATCTCAGAAAATGGACATGGACTTTTACCAACAGATCCATACTTAAAGACTTTCCACACTGGTAAAAGCTGCCAGAGCTTACACTATTGAAGAAATAGCCTTCAGGAAACCAGAGTCATTTTCCACCGCCACAATAAAGCAACAAAATAGGACTTTAGTGAAGAATGAACTGAAGTGTAATAAATATCCAAGACAGAAAGGGCCTAATTTTAAGTGAAGGAATAATTCTATAACATCATATTTTGCCTCAGTTATTGTACACATACCAAGTGATCCCTGAATATAAATGCTTTCACTATACAAAAAAAAAAAAAAGTTTATTTGCACAGTGTAAATTCCAAGGGAATTTATGCCTCATGATTTTTTCAGCTGACAAATGAAAGATGATACCCAGAAGTTTTTTTCAGACTATGTTTATTAGCATCAATGATCAATTGCTTTCTAAAGCAAGGAATCCAATTATCTAAAAAACTTGTTACTCACTTTAGCAATACTATTCAGTATCAGTAGTATAAAAGTATTATAACTCTTTATTTTTGTTCTGACAATGTCTCATATTTTTAAAAATTACTTGCTCTTCTGACAATTATACACACCCTCTCAAAGCCATAAAGCACAATCAAGGCTTCTATAGAAAGAATTCTGTTTCTCATGAGTGTGCATTCCTTTACTGCTCACGTAACCTCTCATATCAACTAGAGTAACATCCTGTTGACTACTATGGAGCCTAAAACTAGGAATGCATATGTATTGAAAAAAAATGCTAGAGACAATTAAACCCAATCTAGTACCCTTCTCATTTGGGCTCAAGGTAAATAGAATATTTTGGTCCCATTTTTCACCAGTAATAGCAGTTCATTGAAGAGAACTCTGCTAAGAATGCACACTGTCCACTTCTAAGAAGATGGCTAAGCTCCTACACAATTTCTTGACGTGTGCTACAGGCAAAATTAAATAAAGATTCCTAAGTAGTAAACAATCTCGACAACAAAACAAGAACACCAGAAGATGCCTAAAAAAAAGTTCTTAAAACTGACAGATCTGACCTTTCCCCAACCACCTAAATTGCTTTAAACCATCAAAAACACCATAAACCATATTTATATCTTCAAAACCATCTAAAATACTCGAAACCATACTTATAACTTTAAAACAGCATCTATTTCTATTAGTGAGTCTGCAAATGGGCAACTTCAAAAAAAATGACAGTCTTAATTCCTTCTAGTTTCACATTCAATTCATTATGATTTTTTTGCAGGTTTTATTATTAATGTCTAATCCCTAAGTACGAAAAACAAAAAGTACTTCATTTCAACATTTTAACATTAAAACACAACTTTTTGGCTGAATGATTTTGCCAGTCACATAAGGCATACAGGTCAAATCAAAACTGGATGAACCCCCAAATGTGTTAGTCATCTCCATTTAAATTTATTTTGGCTTTATTGATAATTTTTCACAAGGGAGAACTGAATCTTGTGGTTAAATTGCTCTTGAATTCAATTAGGAAACATATAACTATTTTCTAGCAAAAAGAACAAAAGTACCTGACAGAAAATTAAGCCACAATCATTTGGTCTAAAATAGAAATTTTTTTTACCTTGTTGTATAAAGGTTGTGTATAGCTTTAAAAAAAAAAAGGTAATATGGGAAACGACACAATGCTTCTTAAAACACAAGTGATGCCTAGGGACCCACACTCTCCCTTTAATGATCCACTGCTCTCATTCAGCTGTCTTTCTTTTTTCAAATCTTTACATATGTGACAGCTCTCAAAAGTAGACCATAGACCATCTGGCATTTTCAGAGGTGTAACTTGTGCAAATTCAGCTCTACTGGGAGCACAATGCTATCTTCTGCCTACGTTATAAAAGGTACAATAGAATGTAGAACTTATGAGTTGTTTTGAATTATTCATTTTTTTGCCTGTATATTCAAGAAATTTTACAAACTCTGCATTTTGTACTACATAATCACATGCGTTAAAGGTACAAAGAAACTTTTTGACACCTCTTTTCTACAGAAAGCTGGCATTTTGTTTGATATGTGAACATTCAGCATCTGTTATATCATTCTAAACAGACCGTATGCTTCTACAAAAGACCCCATTTTAAACTGTCTCTGTATGAGCAAAAAAAAATGTATTCTTGATATTCAGTAACGAATGCAATACACATCAAAATTTCAAATACAAGTTATATGAACATTCAGCATCTTCAAACCTGGATAGCATTGGTCACCCGCTTACCATATGTTTAAAGATTTTTTTTAATCACTCCTCACACTACACACAGCCTGATTGTAATTTTAATATCCATGATGAATACTTACAAATGTCTTAGAAAATACCGTGCTTTCTAAGTTCAAATGTTTTCAATCTAGGGAGAAACCAATAGATTTAGGTCTAGTGATTTTCAATAAGAATGATAAATATTGGAGTAATGATTCAATAGCATGAACCTCTTTTGATAAAAAAAGAGAAGATGGTGTAGCTAGTAATAACTATACAAGAATCTGCTGCTTCTGAAATAGCAATAAAAAAGCAATATATTGCTATTGCATATAATCTATTAACGTACCAATGATGTTCAATCACTGGTCTCTTTACAAAAGTAAGACTTAATAAAATTACAAAAATTTCCCAGGCTTTTTAGCCAATTTCCATGGTTATTTAATTGTATACATATGCAGTGTCATAAAATTAAATGGTTATAGATTTAAAATTTACAAGAAAGAAGATAAATGCATATTGAAACACATAAGAAAAAGTATGGAAATTAGAGACTTGAAATTAACCAATCAACAAGTATATAATAAGAACATACTAGGTGCTCCGCACTTTGCTTTTATGGTCAATATGGAAAAAGGTTATAGGAAATAAATACTATCAAAAGGAAGAAGTTATTTCAATACATATATGATATGTTTTTCTTCTTAGTATAAGGTTATATAACTTAGTGTTTGCTCTATTGAAAACCTGGAGGCACCCACCTCTATAAATGTCATTACTTTAAGTTGCCTTACCTGTAGCAGACCTCTTTCATTTTGACTATACCACAGTCTCTCAAGAACAAGTATGTCGGTTACCAAGGGTGGTTTCTCTAATCTATTTTTTTTGTAATGGTTTGGATAAAAATCCTTATCATGTCCTGATCAGCTCTGGCTTGGAACTTTCAGGCCAATACCAATTCACTAGGCACCCAGAGTTTCATCTACCCCAGAGGGTAAAGAAGAAATCATCAGAGAATCTGACAAATTAGAATAATTGCAATTTTATAAAATTTAGTATAAAGTCCTTCCTTTTCTTTTTGTGGGAGTTGAAGTTCCTCTTTTGAAAATTTTTGTTACTTTAGTTTTACTGATATACATTGATTATATTTCAATCACTACTTCCATACCTCAAAATATTTTGTTGCCTAAAGATTACCCCAATTACCAGCTTAGGCATTTGTTTCTTGCTAATCATCTTCATTCTTTTTTCCTTATTTCTTGGAACTCCCATACCCAACAGATGAAGGTGTACCCAATTACATGTAGCAACTATTTGTCCTTCTTCAATGAATTTTTAATATCATCTTTCCCTAGAATCATCCTGCCTATCCTTTTTTTGTGTTTCCCAACATTGTTATGCCATCTATTTCCTTAGTTCCTCTACACAGTCCTTTGGCCATTTTCCTTATGCATTTGTACTTCTGACCTTTTTCACCATCTTTCGTTGTTCTATTTTTAAGACAATATAGCATTACACTGTATCTTAGAATGATATCCATCTTATTTCTTATAGCAAATTAATTCTGAGCACATGTGAGCACATGTAGGGTGAAGGTAGAAAGGAAGGATGCGCTTATGATAAAAACATTACATAAAAATAAAATGACACAAAAATAGTAAATTTTTTGTAACTTTTGAACCAAAGATTCTACTACTGGGACTATATCCCAAAGATATTATCAGCAGCAAAAAAGACATATACAAAAATGTTCATTGGAGTATTGTTTGAGATTTTTTAAAAAGCTACAAACAAAACTGCACCCAGTAATTTGGAAATGGATGAAGAAATTATGACACGAAAATATAATGAAATATTATTGGGTTCTAAGAAACTGAGAATGTGAGAAATTTGGCGAAACCTGGAAAGACTTGTATGAAGTACAGTCTAATGCATAATAATGATAAAAGTCAAAAGAACAATGCACACAAGAAATATAAAAACATAAATAAAGTCAACAAAGGGACAGGAACTGGACTTGTGATTCTACTGGAAAATGGAAATCTCTAGAAAGGAGGAAATTCCTTCTAACAAGGTAGGTTAGTACCTTCTCTTCAACTTATAGTTTTAGAGATCTGCATAGAGTATTAAGAGATTAAAAGACTTGCCCACAGTTATATAACCAAATAAGTATCAGTAGTGACACTTGAACCCAGGTCTTCCTGATTTTAAGAGTATGCTCAAATAAAAAGGTCAATGTCAATATCATAATTTCTAAGTTAAAGGACACACCCAATTGTGTGCTAGTAAATGTTTAACAA